ATATTCCGACAACAGATGTTACACGTTCCACACACACCTGGCATGTCTTCAACGTCCTCAAGGTAAGAATGGACAGAAATTCACCACCTTAGAGAAATGCGAATTCTTCATGGTAAATATATAAAAAACACTGAGAATACTGCTTCCACTTAAAAATCATTAGCATTACGAAAACCATGGAGTGGATAACGTGCGCCCTGATCCTGACAACAATCGATTGGAGCAGATCTAACTTCGTTTTTTATTACACACCGATGACAGCAACTAAACCACTGCGCCACCACCACCAGCAATCTCCGGTGCAAACAGGATGTGTCCAATGGCATAGTGTTTTTACTATACCACGCTTGTAGTTCAGTTGTACGAAACTACGGAAACATATAAAATATATGGTACATATACACATATATATATATGCCAATTTTTACACATGCGGATAAAAAGTAACCATGAATTAGATAGCCACCCATTAGCGCTACAGAATCGAAAGCGACGGTTTGAACAATACACGGATATTTCAAACAGAATAAATGTACTCATTATATCAACGCCGTGATGGCTACATCATTACAGTGCATACAAAGAGAGTATCCTCCTGCCGTGAGCATTATGGCATAAGACTTGTAATATGGTGTACATTTTAAGGCCAATGTAATGTATCAGGTCAAGATTGAAAAACTAAATTTGTCCAGGAGCTTGCTTCAGTCAGTACTCTTTTAAATGGCATTCAAAACCCGTGCATTTCGCGAGGGAAGGTGTGCTAAACGACTTTTATTCGCCTCAAAAACACACGACTAAGCTCACTAACAGATCGATGAAATACGGAAAAGTGGCCATTTCTGTTCATAAAGAATGCATCAAACGGCTACCCATTAGTTTCCACATGTGATGGTACCCTGGAGATAAATAAATACAATTCCAGAAGTGCACACCTACCACACCAGCAATTTCCGGATAGTTCATCGCAGCCCACGTAACCGTATAGCCTCCGATGGACCAGCCAAACAGGTAGATTTGATGCGGTTTAAAGTGCAGCCTGTGCAAGGCAAAGAGCAGTACCGATTCCATCGCGTTTTGTTCCTTGTCAGGAAACGGAAGTCCCTACACAATGCACCGGAGTCGTGAATTTCGGGGTGAAGGGGTGAAGGAAGAGAGAAATACAAGAAAATAAGTGAAATTTATTGGGGAAATTGTTTTCCTAATCGCATCTAAAAAGTTAGATCTTCGAAACTGATTACTTTTCAGGAAGCTATACCGTGTCAATGGGTGTCTATTGGCATTCCATCTGGAAATCAACTCCTTAGTTATCGGTTTCGAAAACATCGAGACTAATGAGAATTCAAAGGTTGAATGTACCTATCCCCGAGCAGTTTCAATCTAAAAGCGCTGGAAATTTAGTTCGTGTTTAATACGGAATAGAACAGGATGATGTGACAAACAGCAGACAGGGTGAATCCCATAGTCACGACGATCTACTGTTTACTCATGGAAATGAGCAGCTTGACTCTCGGGATTTGTATTGACGAACTCCACAGGGCCCCTTTAATGTAGGCGTGGAACTGAACTGGAAGACAGTGAAGCTACCTAATGCCAAATATGTACAAATCCAGTCTCATTTCGGATGTAATAGTTTAACCTCACGATATGCTACTACTCCAACACTAGGGCTCAAACAGGCATCTACCACGAGAAGTCATACGCGTTTCAGTTACCAACTGGAATATGACACGGGTGCCCATTGTCCTCAATGCAGTTCATCTTTACCATTGAACGGATAGTTGGTCCTTCCATAGAAGGATACCAGGTAATTTAGAATGCTCCGAACTCCTGGCCCACTCGTTTAGAATTCGCTGATGATATGATCGTCTTTGATGAGCTATGTCTGACCTCCAAGAAATAGCTGCATCGATCGAAAAGCCTCTCAGGTAAGCCTAGACGTGAACATATCCAAAACCAAAATATATCGAAATTCATCCCGCAGATACGTACAATTACACGGCGAACAGATCGAAAACTTTAAATGTCCGGGATTAAACCACATTAAAAAAACAACCAAGCTAAGGATTAGGTCTAACTGCACATCTATGATACCAGAAGTGTTTCTGTAGCTGTAGAATTATCTACAGTGTAGAAAAGGAATCAGTCTCAGAACAAAAATATGAACTTTCTCCAAGGCAGTCGATCCTGACTTGTCGTATGGCTGTGACGCTTGGCTATTTGGAATTGAAGACTGTCGAGGATTAAAAGTTTTTGATCATCAGCGCCTAAGAACAGCCAGACGGAAGGATCAGCTCCCAAATCAAACAGCCAAAAACTGGTGTTTTAATAGCAAATGGCTATGCACGCTCACACAGAGGCGATGACAGCAAGGGTTGGACACACTGCGTAAACCGAACCATGGCCAGACCAAAATTGCTTTGGCACAGGCTCCCCGCCCAAAGTGGTGATGCCCAGACGATGTACAGCTGAAAACGGGATGAGGTACCGTACGCAAGGACTCAGAACACTGTGGTTTCCGTTTCGCATCCAGTGATCAACAGTGAGAGCGAGGGTGGGTCGCTATCATCACCAAACCTTGTTGCCGACCGCTAAACGTGGGAAGTTGCAATTCCGAATATCCGCAATTCAAAGTTCATGGGGGCCACCGTGAACAAGCGAATCACAAGAGTCTAGTTCCTGTATAAGTACAGCTCAGGAGGTATGCATTTTCATTGGACTGCCGGAAATTTGAACTCTGGAAATCCCGTATCGAATGCGTGTAAGCACTGTGTCAAACAGCTCACATCGAGATTGTTCACGGGGGGTTAACTCTTAAAATCTGTCCACAATAACTTAACTATCCGTCCTTGTTATCTGTACACTCCAAAAGCCTCAGTATGGTCGGAAGTGTTTAGGGTTGCGGCTGGTCACCCTTCTCATGCACCTCGCGAAATGCTCCCATACGACCAAGCATCTCAGACAGCCTCTGCTGAAGAAACCCTACTCATTGCCTTCTCGTGGAGGAGGTGTTTTCCCACCAAAGTGAGAGGACGAAAAGCCGACATCCGGGGCAATATCCGGGAAGGTGGACCACTGGTAGTTCACTTGGGGGAGTTGGATAAAACATTGATTCCAAACCAACCAAGCGGAGGCGTACAAACCACACACAACTTCGTCGTTGTGGCAATGGTCACCGGTTTCATTAGTCATCGATGTGTATTGGGCATCTTTGACATTTGACCCCGTCCAAAGGGAAAATGATCCGATGGACTGGACACCGGTCCCCAATGGATTGCGGTTTCACACACCGCCCCACTGCCTTCAGGGTCAGGCTTTGACTAGCGAAAGGGTCCGGTTGTGAATTCCTATAGAAAATTCACCTGTCTTGGCCTGGGCAACCTGACAGTATTCAGCACACATGCAAATCATGGAACGTTTTTCTTTCGCATGAAGATTATTGTNAGTTCACTTGGGGGAGTTGGATAAAACATTGATTCCAAACCAACCAAGCGGAGGCGTACAAACCACACACAACTTCGTCGTTGTGGCAATGGTCACCGGTTTCATTAGTCATCGATGTGTATTGGGCATCTTTGACATTTGACCCCGTCCAAAGGGAAAATGATCCGATGGACTGGACACCGGTCCCCAATGGATTGCGGTTTCACACACCGCCCCACTGCCTTCAGGGTCAGGCTTTGACTAGCGAAAGGGTCCGGTTGTGAATTCCTATAGAAAATTCACCTGTCTTGGCCTGGGCAACCTGACAGTATTCAGCACACATGCAAATCATGGAACGTTTTTCTTTCGCATGAAGATTATTGTACCATGATTTGTTTGGCACACAGTCTAGATTCAGAAGTGTGTGATAATAAAAGAAAATAAAACCAAGGAGAAAAATCGGTCACGAATGCCACTCACATGATACAAACGGATGGTACATGCCTAATTCAAATAGCTGTAACAAACAGCCAACAATGTGATAAGCAGAAATCAATAGATGAAAAGTAGATCACAAAATAAGTTTCAGTCTATGCAACGAAAAATCATGCACTTGTTGTTTTTTAGCTGCTCATTTCGATGAAGAAATGAAGTGAGGAAGTAGAAAGTTGGAAGCAGTATCAGTCAATCTGCCAATTTAAATGTCGCTCCGGTGTGAATAGATCAACCAGCCGAATTTCTGCGCATACTACTTTGTATCGCTCATTTGTAGTTCATTAATCCGAGTCCCATGGCTCGGGTAGCCTAGTTGCATAACCGAACAGGAACACTCAGAACGTCTAACCCCCGACTACGGTTCGTTGCATGCAGTGGCAAATCACTTACGGTAACACTGGCTGAATATTCATCTCTTGGGGTGCATAAAGCATATACTTGACTTGATTTGACTTTACCTTATTCGCGTTATTGAGCCGAATGATATCGAAACTAAGTATGACCAAAGTTGTGTGGCTATAGCAACGTTTGAAACTCGGACTCAACGGTCTAGAACACATAGATGTATCTTGCAGTAACGAATACACTTAGTGAGTGAAAACATGCTATATGGCTCATTTGAATAGCTTATCAAAAGTTCTGAGAATCGTAACGTACCAATCAGGACTGAGGTTACACAACCACTGGTGAAATGAGCACAAACACCGGAGGTAAATAGTTTCCTGTCGGTGAGGATGTGAAAAAATAACACTACATTTAGTGTTTAGTTTAGTTCTGTAGTCGGGGGATTCCTGATGATCAGCTAGAAACCTAGCCCCATTTAACACACACGCACACATACACACATTCAAAATGCCGAAAAGCGATAGAATCAACCACAGGATCAAAAATGGTGTATTGTGCACTCTAGATATTTGAAACTGGCGCGCCCATTTCAAATCCTGCTGATCACATATCAACAGTTATTTATTTCAACTCCCACACGTACAGTGAAATACATCGATCTTGTTTGGGTGAGTGAACCGGGAAGAGTATTAGTGTTACCTGAAGTAGACAGGGAGCAGTACGGATAGATATATGCACATCTATACAAACAATGCTGCACATGCTGCGAGCGATTCACTGAGCCGCATGAGCGGGTAAAAACGAGGGGGCAGACGTGGACTGCCGGTGATGAGAGGGGGGAAAGACAGAGCACTCACTGTACTTGCACCGAATCCGGGATGATTCCAAGCCAGCACTGAGTAACCGTGTTCCAACGGGACCAAAGGTGTACCAATTTCAGGATAACCACCATTTCCTTCGCAGCAGATAATCTGAAGCAGAAAGGGAGAAAGGGAAGAGAACAAAACCCATTTTGATACAGATACAGGTGGCATTAATTGGGGCGAACGCGATCATTGGTTCAAACATGTGGAGTTGTATGCCCAAAGCAAGAAATATATGACAAGACTGTATTGAGTAAAAACCATTCACATTCTGACAACCAAGAAACAGAAAAGAGATTCACATAAACAATTTCAGAGTTTACTCTGGAAAAAGAAGAGGATAATAGTCTAGCCTTTCTAGACATACTCATACGACGCCGCAGTGATAGCTCTGTTCAGTTATCGGTGCATAGAAAAGCAACGAGAAATGGACATTATATCCACCTCCATAGTTTTGTCCCTCTTCAGAGGAAGAGAAACCTAATTCGCTCTTTGGTTCAAAGGGTGAAGAAAATATGCACGACGGGCACTACTGACAATGAACTTCAGTTCCTACGTACCTTTTTTGCTCAGAATGGCTACCCCGAACGATTTATCGATAGGGCAATGCTAGAACACGAGGAACGGCCGAAGGAAATAGGAGCAGCGAAGAAGTCGGTCTACGTACACCTGCCGTTCAAAGGAGATACAGAGGCAGAGGTCTTTCAAAGAAAGCTAACAAATGCAGTAAGCAGAACGGTTCACGCTGCACAATTCAAAGTTACGTTCACATCTAAACCAATTATGTGTTTCTGACTGAAAGATAGAGTGCCAAATTCTGCAGCTTCATTCTGTGTTTATTCATCTACCTGTTCCTGTGGGACTGGGTACATCGGCCGCACGACCAGGCGCTTATCCGATCGCGTTCGCGAACACCACCCGGCTTGGTTGAGGACTGGAACAATTAAGACAATTACGAGCGCGGTGTGTTCGCATCTCGTTGAGTCAAATCACTTGGTAAATGTGGCANAACCCCCCCCCCGCCTTGTGCACCCAGAAGAAATGTGTGCAAGCACTTAATCTCCCCTGGCCCACTTCAGTCACTCCAATACGTGTGCAATCACTTGAACTTTTGACACTGTGATCAATTTCACACAAACACACGCACGCATGATTGGAGCCGCAGCTGAATCATTAGGACTCGAATTTCTCATTCCCTGTTTCGTTCTTCCAGTTAGTCATATTTAATGTTATGTAATGGCATGATTACGAATAAGTGAGAACGAGCTTGTTCGCCACGCTGTTGTTCTTAATTTCAGAACACTTGTCAGATAATTAGATTAGAGGGAAACTTGTCCGGTACGGAACAAAAGATAAGGAATATTGAAAGAAAGTTGCTGAATGTCAATCATCAGCATTGCGTATCTCCGGACTTCACTTAGGATAGAACGTGCAACCTTACCGGCAGAACGTAAGCATAATATTCACTGGAACACCAGGAACGACTGATCAGAGCATTTCACTATGCTCATTTAGAATAGGGCAATCTGCCTAGTAATTCACTAAGCTCGTTCAACCGATTATCAGACTCGAGGGGTTATTACCTGGGTAGAGACGCTCCTATACCATTAGACAAAAAATCATACGGAAGAAGTTTGCTGTCTCCCTTTGAAAAAAGACATACAACTTACAAGAATTTCACCCTTTGAATCCCCATGCCCGGAAAATTGTGGATCCGCTACGGCCAAAGTGGATCCACGTCGATCGGCGTAGAATGCATCGACGAAATCGCCGTCTTGAGTGAGTAAGCCAATCCGACGGATTCCATACTGTTGGGGATGAGGCACAAAGCGTACGGTGCGAAAGCGAATGGAAAAAGTGAAACTAGGAGATACGAGATTTCACACACAATTAAAGACACGATAGAGGTAAAAAAAAATGGGCAGCGAATCGAATAACGGGACACAAACAGACGAAACTCAATAATGCAAATTAGACACCAGTCCTAAATGCAATGAGGCGGAAGTTTCTATGTCTTCCAAGTCAGTCTTCAGCTAACCAAGGTTTTCAGTTGTACAGAACTGTGCCCACAAACAAAAACATGAATTAAGTTTTACTCATTGAAGATTAGGCATCCTTACTTGCTGGGTACATAGCCTGAAGTGAAATATTATACCACAGATGTGGTATGCATACTTCGTGGTAGCAGCCCACACCGACGAAGGACTTTTTCTTTGGCAACCCAGACCAGAGCCTTTGAATTAAAAGTCTGACTCGCAATCCTTCCATGAGGTCACCACTGAAAGCCTGAGGATGATTGGGAATGTTGGGTTGCAACTGGTCGCTTGTTTCTCGCACCTCATGAAAGGCTCACATATGACAAAGTTCCTTAGACAACCTACTACAGAAAGGCAAAGGAATATGGCTTCCACAGATCATCTTTTTATTACGCACCTGTTGTGGTCTATAACTGACCGATTTATGTTTATACATGCCCGTGGGCAAATTGATTGATCGATCGATCGGTTGATCGACTGACATCCGATTGGCATTCGCCCGAAATTCGAAAACGTACAAGCGATACTGAAGTGCCCTCAACCTCAAACTCCTGATCAACTGAAGCATTTTCTCGGATTATGTTCATACTATCTCCGTCACTTAAGGAATTTTGCAACGGTCTCAGAACCACTCAGGAGATTTATAAAGCCAAATGATAGATGTGTATGGGGCCCGGAAAAACAAGTCTTTTGAATTAATTCGGTCTATGGTGTCTACAGCGCCGACTATAGCCATTTTCAATGAGCATCTGCAAACAATTGTGTCAACAGACGCCTGTGACGTCGGTTTGGGAGCCGTACTGTCGCAAGTTCACGATGGAGTGGAGAAAATTGCAGCATTTGCGTCTCGATCACTGTCGGTGACTGAGAGAAAGCATTCCACAGGCGAGAAGGAAGTGCTAGCATGCGTATGGGTCATTGAGAAATGCCATTCGTATTTACTTGGTCGTCCATTTACCTTAAGAACTGATGATTCTGCGCTAACTAGTTTACTTAGTCGTGGCGATAAAGATCACAGACTCTTACGAATCAGCCACTGGTACGCTCGACCTCTTAATTATGATTTCGAAATACAATTTACCCCCCGGATCAAAGAATCAAGTAGCTGATGCACTATCCCGTTTTTCAGTGAACGACCTAAGTGAAGGTGAAGATATAGAGGAGCAAAAATTATTTATCAACTAGAAAACCGTCAGTGCAGTGCGATTACAAAACGGTTACTGAAAGAACATTCAGAAACGGATTTGGTTCTAACACAGGTTACTCAATGCTTCTAATCGTCCTGACCAGATAAAGGATCACTGCCCATGGAGCTCATTCCGTACTACATTCTGCGTGATAAACTGGCAACTATCGAACACTGTGTAAGGCGCGGGGACAGATACGTTGTACCTCGCAGTTTAATACCTGCCACTGTACAGTGTGTACATGAAGGACACCCCGGTAGAGTTCGCACCAAAGCACGTGTAAGAGAATATTACTGGTAGCCCGAATTAAACTCCTTTGTTGAAGCAGCAGTCAGGACCTGCTCTGCATGCCAAAATTCTGATAAATCAGGTAAGACAATCTCTGCGCCGGTACAACCAATTGTGTATCCCATGCGCCCATGCGCGAAATTGGTAATTGATATAATGGGTCCCTTTCAACGAGCCCCTATTGGAAAGCGAAATGTTGTTGTGGCCACTTGTTTCTACAGTAAATGGCCGGAGGCTATCCTGTGTGGCGAATTAACTTCCTCCGTCATCATCAAGTGGTTCGAAACTCTGCACGATTTGGTCTACCAGAGGATATAGTGACCGACAACGGTCCACAGTTTAGAAGTAAAGAGTTTCAGGATTTCCTTCGTGTAAACGATATTAGACGCTCAAGGACGGTTTCTTACAACCCAGCGGCGAATGCGATGGTGGAACGTCTGAATAGAACCCTAAAGGAATCTATGCAAATCACACAACAGGAAGGAACCTCCCAAGAAGACGCACTCCTAATTGCTCTGAGTACCTACCGAACAATTCCTCATTCCGCGACTCAAAAACTCCGGCGGAATTGATGCTCGGCAGACGAGTCCGCACAAAACTGAACGCGATAGTTCCGTCCCGAGAAACCGGATGAAATTTACAGGCGATGCAGGTATCATTCATCATATCATCGCATTGTAAAGCCGCTCAAAGTGGGTCAATATGTGCGAGTGTGCTAATTGAAAAAGAGGAAAGATGAGTTTAAACTCACCGGACCCATGGAAGTCCGGAATATTTGCATGCTATGAACTTATACGTTGGCGGATGGTTCGAAGGCAAATGCAAAACGACTCTATACGTCGTTGCTGAAGGATGAATCTTCCACAACCTCACCGACCCCGGACAGGACAGGGGATAAAACCGGAACCGGAGTAAATTTATGGACTGCCCGTAGGAGATCAACGAGAGTTCGATTTCCGGTGAATCGTTACCAGTGCAGAGAGTGGGGCCGAAAAAATGGTCAAGATCAAACGAACATTTACAATGGAATTCTGTTTGTTGTTCCTTTGTTTCGTGAAATAATTATTTCCAACTAATTTGTAGAAGGAAAGGTGATGTTGTGGCCTATAACTGACTGATTTGTGTTCATACATGCCCGTGGCCAAATTGATTGATCGATTGACTGACTGTCTGAATGCTGGTTTGACGACATTCGCATGTAGTGCAACGTGTGAGCTAGTATCGGCCTATCTGCTCGCCTTCCAGCACATTGATCGTTCCGATCTGTTTCCCGGTTTGTGAACCGGCAATACATTTGTCGTTTACAATAAACTTAGTGCTTGATTCATTGTGTGCTCATCTTCCTACTTCATTTGGGACATCTAAGTGTGATTAACAGCAGACGGGGAAAGCCCCATAGTCACAAGGACCTGCTGTTTAGTGATGGAAACCGGTAACCTAAGCCCCGGGAACTGGAGTGGTGAACCACATAAGGTCCCATAAAGTTAGACGTGGTATTGAACCGGACGACAGCAAAGCTACTCACCACCAAAGTTGACTGGCTGTGACAGGGCTCGAACCTCGGACCATAGAGGCCAAAACATGACGGTGACAACGACTAAATCACTGCGCCACCACCGCTAGATGGTGGTCCAAAAAGACGAATGAGACAATGAAAACAAGGTTGAATTTACCGTTTAAAAATTTGTAGTGCCCTTTTATTTTGGATGTAAGAGTAACGTTTATTTTCATGAACAAAGTTGTGATCAACTAGAAGGCTAAAAGAGAAGAGAATCAGATGAGGAAGTTGGGATATGGTGGCCGAACGTGACCTAATCCAGCCCAGGGCAATGAAGAATTAGAACAAATGGGTATCAAATTGGGCAAATGCGTTTCAAGGCCCACGGATATAGTAATTTCCAAATAGGAACGCAACACATTCAAACCGAAGAGAATAGGACCGGAAAAGGAAAGTAACAGACGTATGATCACAATATTTTGCAGCGACCTCCATCCATATTTGTTTATCAGTGGAAGACAACAATGAAAAACATTAACCGAATCTGATGAACCATTGGGAACTTACTTGTCTTCGCAAATTATCACGAGCGTCTAGACGCGGATGAACTGAAAAAGAACGTGCGCAGCGCAACACAGAAGCAGTCATTATACAACTCGAAATTTGCTTTGGACGTGCAATAGTTCAAGTTGTGCTACTGCTCAACAAGTATTGCGATAGTACTCGAAAATTAATAATAATAATAATCAAATTGGAATAACCGGATGAGCGAAACAATGGCCGGATAGTGCGTACTTTGTGTTGAGCACATCTTGCAAAATTCTGGTCAACTTTAATAATTACGCAAAAAAAAAACGAATGACCTCAAAGCACCCCAAGCACTTTTCTTTCGAGTCATACCTAAAAGTGTGATCAGTCATCTGGCGTCGTGATTCTTACCGTTCAACGCCTGCAATCCAGGCAGACTTAAACGCGACAAACACTATGTCAGATTCCATTAGTTCCTAAATGGGATGTATTTTCAGTATTGAGATAACTTCACCACTAAATTCAATGTAAGACGAGAAATGTCAAGAGCACAGAATAACGCAGTGAATACGATGGGGTGGATCGTTCGCATCGTGAAAATCGATGCATGCATACGTAACCCGCATCCCCAAAGCAAGAAAACAACAAGCGTGCCTGGCACCTGTTAAATTGAATAAACTATTTGGAATAAATCCAAAAATACACATCGTCAAAACGGGCACTCATTAAAATGAGTGAGCGCCGAGTAACGGTGTATGGAGTACCCGGTAGGAGTACCACCTCTGATTCGGTGGGCTGTCGGCCCTTTGGAGCGTCAGAAATTGGTGTTTTAATCTTATACAGCTATGGACGCTAACAGAAGGACGGCAACTATAATGGTTTGGTCACATACTTCGGCCTGACCAAAAGTTACCTTGGCACTGCCTTTCTTCCCGAACTGGTGCTGTGGACACGGTGAGCAAATAAAACCTGGATAGACACGGTACGCAAGTATACGGATACGGATACCTTAGCCTCCGCTCCGTCTACGATCATCACCAATGGAAGTCAATCTGGATCACTATCTGCGTTGATCTTGCCGCAGAGCGCCGAGCGTGGGCAGCGGCAATTCGGGATATCCATAAAGCCGGATTATCCTCCTCTAGCAGCTAGCCGCCGTAAAGTGAGTAAGTGAATTATTGCTAATCAAGAAATATAATTTCAGATAGAAGCAGTTATAGAGTATTAGCTACCATATAAACCGCGGTGGTGGTGCCGTGATAACGTCATCAACGTCATCACCCCGGGGATGTGTGTTCGAATCCCACCACTACCGCCTGACTTCCGCCATTTGTGTTGTATGGCAGCCTTGGATTGGCCGCTCCTTCTTCCTGAAAATTATATTATTGCATATTCAATACAAGGAAGTAATTATGAAAAAAATGAAAAAAGTGGAACGATCATATGAAAGAATTGTGGGATTCGAAATAAGATAATTGTGGACACTTACGTGTTAGTGAGTTCAGGATTCCCGTACTCCCGGGATAGGCAATGCGAACACCGATTGTGTGAGCGACCATCCATCTGGGGGTGGGGATGCGATAACAAATGCAATCGGTTCACATGCTCAATTACTATATTTCATACTTGTCTGAGGACAGACTGAGTGCCAGGCAAATCATGCTACAGTATTATTTATAAAAAAGTAAAAATGTTCCATGATTTGCATGTGTGCTGAATACTGTCACGTTGCTCAGGTCAAGACAGGTGGATTTTCTATAGGAATTCACAACCGGAGCCTTCACCTAACCAATGCTCGACCCGCAAGGTAGCCGGCCGGTGTGTGAAACCGCAATCCATTGGGGACCGGTGCCCAGTCCATTGGATCATTCTCCCTTTGGACGGGGTCAAATGTCAAAGGTGCCCAATACACATCGATGACTAAAGAAACCGGTGACCATTACCACAACGACGAAGTTGTGTGTGGTTTGTACGCCTACGCTTGGTTGGTTTGGAACCAGGGTTTTCGGTCAACTCCCCTAAGTGAACTACCAGTGGTCCACCAACCCGGTTATAGCCCCGGATGTCGGCTATTCGTCCTCTCACTTTGGTGGGAAAACACCTCCACCACGAGAAGGCAGTGAGTAAGGTTTCCTTAGCAGAGGCTGTCTGAGATGCTTGGTCGTATGGGAGCATTTCGCGAGGTGCGTGGGAAGGGTGACCATCGAGGTATATTGGGCACCTTTGACATTTGACCCCGTCCAAAGGGAGAACGATCCGATGAACTGGACACCAGCCCCCGATGCATTGCAGTTTCACACACCGCCCCGCTACTTNCTAGCGAAAGGGTCCGGTTGTGAATTCCTAAAGAAAATTCACCTGCCTTGGCCTGGGCAACCTGACAGTATTCAGCACACATGCAAATCATGGAACGTTTTTCTTTCGCATGAAGATTATTGTACCATGATTTGTTTGGCACACACTCTGGATTCAGACGTTTGTGAAATATATAAAAATGTATACTCTTGGGTATTTACGACCAGTCTTCAATAAGCAAACTGGTTGATCGGTAAGCCGGTGAGGTTTGTGATGAATGTAATCAAGTGCAGTATGTGTTTTATTGTAGCCGATGTACCTACGCTGTAAGAAGATTAAAGCCGCGTTTCCGGTCCTGTTTTCTCTCTCGTTCATCGTTCAATTATTCGAGCTCATCAGTGGTATTGGAAGGATGTGCTCCAATGGAATCGGTAGACTTGCACACAACCACACCATTTTCGGCTTATGGCAATTTGTGTCCGTCGTTCGCTCGAGGAGAAAAGCTGTGCGATTTGAAATACGCTGACGACATCGTCTGCTTGTTCGAATCTATGGAGGATGCACAAAGAGCACTTGACAGATTAGCAAGTTCGGTCACTCCGTTCGGCATGTGCTTTGTACCTTCAAAGTGCAAAGTGATGCTATAAGACTGGGTGTCACCGAGTTCCGTTCTGAAACTAGACGGTCAGGAATTAGCTGAAGTTGACTGCCTCTCGTAATTAGATAGCTGCGTGACCAACGACGGCAGCGCATCGAAGGAGATAACGGCCCGCATTTCCAAGGCTCGAGCAGCGTACGCAGGACCTGAACACCTTTGGTGGTGAAGTGACGTGTCACTGAAGTTGAAAAGTCGCGTATACTGCGCCAGTGTACGATCAGTTCTGCTTTCCGGTTGTGAGACCCTGAATTTGCACGTAGAAGACATCCATCACCTAGTGGTTTTCGATAATCGATGCCTAAGTGAGATGGAGTGATCGAGATATTAAATTAGAAGTAGCCGGGTGTTCGGGAATGCATCGAACAAGAACTCGCTATCGCATCGAGTCCAGCTCAATAGGTTAGGACATGTTTTGCCTGTGTTGACCACAGAGGTTTACTTTCTTTTTCCCGCCCCTAAAAATAAGTTAAATCCTTGTCCTCCTTACACATTCACACTTATCCTGTATGCAATATTAGTTTGACAGCGATCAGTGAAGCTGGCTTCACTGTATTACGCTGTGCAATGATGATGATGGTGTTGGCTCGAGGAGGGCGGAGGACAAGTGGTGTACTGGCAGATGGATCGTCTGAAGTTCTTACTGGCGAGAAACAGGTAGAGTCTAACACATAAGGCTAACTACGGTTCACCGTTTTCCAAGTGACAGGAGTTTAGTCCAGAGTAGCACATGGTAGGTTACTAATGATAATGTGTTTGACTGTTTGATTTTCAGTACTGCTTCTTTAGGTCAATCGCCCGCTTATGGCGGCAGCATAACCAAAACAATGAGAAATTTGGGCTGCGAGTCTTGAGCACACAAAATCGGTCACTATAAGATGATTTTTTGCTGAATAAAGTTAGGAGGCTTGATCAGGCGCTATGCATCCCTGGCCAACGCTTCCTGCGTCGTACTCGACTTGGGATTGCTAGAAATGAGTGAAAAAGACTGAAGCAGATATATGGCTAACTGGAAGTGACATGAAACGGAGGGCTAAACTCCAGCATCAGTCGAAAGTTCACGATTCCCCCCCCCCACACACACACCCGGGTGGAGCAATACAAAATTAAACCTAAGCGCTGGCTGACTGCGGTGGTTCATTCTATTTCATATACAGTATAAACAAATAACAATAAAAGTAACAATACTATATGCAAAAACTGAGGAAACGCTGAATATTTTCTTTTTCTTTCTTCGTATCAAGTTTCCCTTCTTCAACATGACTCCGTTAGCACTGTAATTAAATTGGCTTCAAACAAGTAAATTCTATACACATGCATTGTACTCCAACGATTACTCACGTAATGGGCCAAAGCAAGACAGATACATTCTCGTCACGTTTTGGTGTGGGAATTCGTGCTCTTCGCACTGTGTCTGGAAGTGTACGAACATCGAAGTGCGCCGGCCAGGGGGAAGAGAAACTGTACAACGTCAACTTTTCCTATAAAAAAAGTTGGATGCGTAACCATCGAAATATTCTTCGGCCTACCAGAACTGCGTCGTTTTGCTGTTCTTTGGCAGTTAAATATAATTTCGCAAACTTGTAATAGTTCTCATTTAAGACACGCCCAGTTCCTGTGGACGAGAGGACAATTAGATGGAAGTCCAGTGCTGAAAGCAATTAGTTACCCCGTAGAAGCATAGCCACCG